ATTTACAGCAGACATTGCAATACAATCTTTAAATACCAGTAAAGCTTGGAGTCCAATGTAGCTATCCCTAAAGAAAACAATTTCCAACCCAGACTGACTTATCCTGCAAAGCTATCTTTTCAAATTGATGGAAAAATAAGACATTTTTGATAAAGAGCACCTAAAGAAATTCATGACCACAAAACTAGCACTCCAAGACAATCTTGAGGATACCCTTCACTGAGAAAGATGATGAAGCTAAAAATGACAAAAAAAAAGCTTAATAGAATGAACATACCAGGTGGGGTGAGCAGTTAGTAGAAGGGAAAGATAAGAAATCAGCAATAGGAAAAGAAGGCAAGGACAGGAATAAGTCAGTACCTATCAGGGACAGCTCTCAATGTGAATGGTCTTAATTCTGCAATCAAAAGACACAGTCTACAAGAATGAATTAATAAAAAAAATTCAACAGTATACTATATATAAAAACACATTTAACCCAAAAAGTAACTTATAGACTAAAAATCAAAAGACAGAAAAGAATGTTCCATGCAATGGGATCCAGAAATAAAAGCATTTGTAGCACTCAGATTAAGTGGACTTCAAACCAAAACCGATCAAGAGGCAAAAAAGGTCACTATATATTGGTCAAGGTACCAATCTAACAGGAGGAGGTAATAATTATTAACATATACACACTGAATAATGGTGCACCCAGCTTCATAAAATAAATACTATTTGATTGGAAAGACCAGATAAACATAAGTATAGCTACAGTGGGGAACCTCAAGGCCGCACTATCACAAATGGGCAGATCAACGAGACAAAAATTCAACAAAGAATATTAGAGTTGAAACAAACTTTCAAATAAATGGACTTAGTAGATATCTATAGAATGTCCACCCAACAACAGAATACACATTCTTCCCTATAGGACATGGGGTTTTCTCCAAAATAGACCAAATACTAGTCAATAAATAAATCTTAAATTAATGTAAAAATATTGAAATTATACCATGTGTATTATTATATCATAGTGCAATGAAATTAGATATCAACAACAAAAGAAAACATGGAAATTATGCAAATGCATGGAAGTTCAACAATGCAATGGAAACTGAATACTCTTAACTAAATGATGGGTTATAGAAGAAATGAAAGTATAAATACAATTTCTAGAACTAAATGATTATGCCAGTACAACATACCAGAATTTATGGGATATAATGAAAGCACTCCTATGAGGAAAGTTTATAGCTGTGAATGCCCACATCATAAAAACAGTGAGACCAGAAAATTAACCCAATGATGTACCTCAAGATCCTAGAAAAACAAGAACAATCCAAACACAAACCTAGTAGAAGGCAGAAAATTACAGATACTCCTCATTTAACTATGTACTTGATTAACAACTATTTGGATTTACAACCCACTACTTGAACTTACAACCCATCTTTTTTGTGTACAGTTCTACAATCTTGTTTATAGAGCCTGAATGTCTCTTTGTGCATAATATACCTTTTTATACAGTACTGTAATTTTTGCTGATTGTATTGTACAGTAAAGTACTGTACTTGTGTGTTACAGCACCACATGTAAGAATTATACAAATAAAGGCAAAGTCATCAAGTTGGAGTTTGCTTTGACCATTTTTGGGTTCTGAATATTGTAATGTATATACTATGTACAATTCCTAATTTGGTGACCAATTCCATGAACAACCTAGTTTAGGAATAGAACTCAGTCAGTAAGTGAGGAATGTCTGTATAAAGATCCAAGTAGACATTAGTGCAATTGAGACAACCCCCTCAACAAAGCAAAACAAAACAAAACACCAAAGAACTGATTCTAATAGTTGAAAAAGAAAATAGACAAACTCTTAGACAACTTACCCAAAAATAGGAAAAAGATCCAAATCATTGCATTTAGATATGAAAAAAAGGAAATCACGATACATGTTGCTAAAATAAACATCATAAACTGCTTTGCAGACCTCTATGCCAATAAATTAGAAAATTCAGAAGAAATGTATAGGTTCCTAAATAAATGGGAATTATCAAAATTGAACTGACATGATTCAAAAACTCTGAGTATCCAGTAAGTGTCAATGAAATTAAAGCAGTAATAAATAACATATCAACTAAGAAAATCCCAGGTTGGGACTGCTTCACTGCTAAATTCTACAAAAACCTCAGGGACTATCTAAAACCAATACTCCTCAAGTTTTTAAAATTAATTTGAAAGGGAAAGAGTAAACTCAAAGTCATTTATGGAAGCTACCATTGCCTTGATTCTAAAAGTAAACAACTATCCAACCAAAAAAGAGAAGTACAGACCAATCTATTTAATGAACGTAGATGTGAAAATCCTCAAAAGATACCTGCAAGTAGAATTCATCAAATCTTCAAAAAGATTATGTGCATTTATCAAGCAAGTTTCATCCGAGTGATGCACAGACAGTTCAGCATACACAAATCAACCAATGTAATACATCACATAAACGGAAGCAAACACGTAAATTATGCAATCATTTCAATAGATGTAGCAAAAGCCTTTGAAAAATTGAACATCTATTCAGGATAAAAGTACTGAAGAAAATAGGTGTATAGAAGGACCTTATTTCAATCTCATAAAAGCCATTTATGGCAAAGTCACTGCCAACATCAAATTAAATGAGGAAAAACTGAAAGTTTTCCCTCCAAAATCAGGAACAAGTCAAGAGTACCCACTATCATCAGTGATGTTCAATGTAGCACCTGAAACATTAACAAGAGCAATTGGGCTAGAAGAAGAAAAGAAGCATATGTATAGGAAAACAAGAAGTCAGATTATCATTATTTGAAGATGACATAATGCTCTACAAAGAAGATCCTGAAAAATACACCAAAAGAATTTTAGAGTTAATGACTATATTCAGTATTATAACAAGATGCAAAATCAACACACAAGATTAATAACATTACTATACACTAATAGTGAATCCATTGAGAAAGAAATTCAGGAAATGTACCATTCACAATGCACCAAGAATAATTAAATACTTAGGAATTAAACTTAAGACGTGGAAGAATAATATGATGAATACTATAGTACTTTGATAAAAGAAATTGTACAGGACATTAGAAAATGTAATGATACCCCCCATTCCTGGATAGGCAAAACAATATAGTCAAGAATGACCATACTTCATATTTATGTATGTAACACATTCATGATTGGGTCTTAATTTGTGTATCTTGCTGCCAAGCGAGTCTAATTTGACTTCATTCATCTGATGTTATAGACCTAACATGCATATGCTATTATGTTAATGTAGATGTTAAGACAAAATAATAACATGTTAAAACAAAAATAGTTATTGTTATTTCATGGCTGGATTATTATTATTATGTTCAGTGTTAAATTTTTAAAGTTATTTCCTTGTGGGTCCTTGGTGGTTTTCTAATTTTCATTGAAAAGTAATATATACTTATTGTATACATATATCTACACTATAACTCATTTGTTTGTTAATTTTAAGAATATCTCAATGTAGAATTTTTTCCATTACAGAATCAAACAGAAAATGGATGATTCATCAGATGAATCTCTAATTATATCTCATCAGAGGAAATGATCTCAACCTATTACTCTTCAGATGAAGAATAATTAGAGTTAGATGAGTGTAATCTTATGGCTAATATATTCAGTGAACACAGTGTGGAGTTCGATATGAATGTAGAAAATCAAGAGGAAGATTGGCAGTCAATAATAGACACAAAAGTGATGGAAACATGAGCACGTGGAACTGAAAAATGGAGAACTTCTAATAAGAAATATTAATTGCAGTGATCTTTTGGCATTTTATAAATTATTTATATCTAACGATATATCTAAAATTATAGTTGAAATAAATAGTAACATCATATGATGTGGGCAAAAAGAAGAAAACATAAGCAGTGCTGAGAATCTCTTACAATTAGCAATATGAAAAATTGTATAAGTACAGTATAGTACTAATCATGGGGATAGTACCATTACCAGACATTAGACTGTTTTGCTCTAAAAATAAAATGTATGCTGATGGTCATATAAAGAATTTCACACAGGTCAATAACTTTTTGGCTACTTTGAACTGTTTACATTTCTTTGACAATACCATATGCAGGACCAAGGATACCTTGAATAAATTTTTAAAAATCACGGAAGAAACTATTAGTACATTTAAGAATGGTGTAAAACCTGGAAAAATGTAATGGTAAGTGAAAGCATGATATGATTTTATAGTAAAAATATGTGCATTTTCACCAATACGTCAGAGGAAAACAGGCAAATTTGAGATAAATTTAAATAAATTATGTTTGCATAATGTTTATACCTATGATTTACATGTTTATACTGGAAAGGTGCAAACCTTTCAGTGAATGGATAGTCTTATGCTTTGAATGTAATGAATGGCTTATTATTTGAACATTGCAGATAGTTACTATTTGACTATTGCCTTAGCATAAGAACTTTTACAAAAAGAAATTTTTGCAATTTTTGGAGAACAATATAGCCAAATTAATACTTTTTTACCAATACAAGAAAGACAAAGCAAAACTGTGATCAAATCATAAACTTTGAAAATCATTTGGGTGCAAAATTTGTGATAAAAGAACTATTTGTATGTTAACAATTTGTAAAAATCATAGACGTGCACTGATTGAAGGAAAACCTCGAAACATAAAACTTAATGTTTTTTATTATAGGAATGCAAAGAAATATATTGATTTAGCAGACCAGGTATTACATGTTCCTATAGAAAAATATGGAAATGGTATTAAAAGTTGTAATACAGGACTGGGAATTTATGCTCAGCGAGATAAGCACCTGCCTTGCAAGTGCGCAATTGTGAATTCGATCCCCAGTACAAAAAAAAAAAAAAAAAATTGTAATACAGGTAATTTGTGGCACGGCAGTTGTAAATGTCTATTGTATACACCAGCAATGGTGTACTTGTAAGAGTCCATGTTTAAATTTGGAGAATTAATTATTTATCAGCAAGGAAAGTGAACACACAGATTCCTCCACTACCAAAAAATGTGCAGTTGAGTTTCTAGTATTTGGGGAATCATACGGTTCAACATGTCCAGTGTGCAATGAATAAGATTTGACCTGGGGAAACTATCTTAATGATCACAGTATTTCTCCTGCCAGGTAAATGTGAGAACTAAATATTGATAAAATATTAATCCATGAAGAAATGTCATGATCAAAAAGCACTCAAGAAAACACTCATTTTATCAAAGCTCATTTACGATCAGCAAGAAATGCATACAGGCAATGTAGAGAATGTTGTTAAAAATTATCTGAAAAAATGAGTGCTGTGGTGGTGGCAAAAAGCCAAATGCATTGTGATCTTATGTGAACTTCTTACAAATCAGCTGCCTTTATGTATAAGCTGTTTTAAAGACATTTACTAATATAAATTAAAATTTAATATAATGAAACAAATATGTCGATTATTGTAATCAGGCTTTTTTTGAGACAGGGTCTTGCTATATAGTTCAGACTGGCATTGAGCTCACTTTGTAGCCCAGGCTGGCTTCATACTCAGGGTGATTCTCTGCCTTAGCTTTCTGAGTGCTGGGATTATAGTATACCACAGGTTTTTTAATTGGCATAAACAGTTGTAGTAAGTATTTATATTTTGGCTGTAATTATTGAAATTCAAGAAATTAACTAGATTTGGTCCATTTGTAGACTTTTACTATTTTTATTAGTAAAAAGACCAATAAAAGGGACTAGATTTATTTGTATTACCAGTGGTTCAAGTCACCTGATGGGACAGTCATGCATGTACACAGGTGGGTCATACTTGTGGCAATATGTTAATGTAATTGCAATCAAAGTTTGAATAACATTCTTCAGAGAACTGGGGAATGTTATTGTAAGATTCATGTGGAACCAGAATAGACTCAGAATAGCAAAAGCAATCCTAGGTTAAAAGAGCAAAGAGGGAGGCATCACTATTCCAGGCCTCAAGTTATAGTATGAATTACTGTGATTAAAAACAGCGTGCTACTGGCACAAAAACAGATGTGCAGATCAATGGGACAGAATAGAGGATGCAAAAACATCAACCTTCAACTATTTGATCTTTGACAAAGGGATCAAAAACAGCACTGGAGAAAACTTGGCCACTTTAATAAATAGTGTTGGGAAAACTGGCTATTCACATCCAGAAGTCTGAATCTAGACACACAGCTCACCATGTACTAAACTAAAATCAAAATAGATCAGAGAACTAAATGTTAAACCAGAAACACTTAATAAACTGGAAGGCAAAATAAATAAAACTCTTGAAGTTGTAGGCATAAGCAAGGACATTCTGAACAGAACCTCTGTTGTACAGAAAATAGTTCTAAAAATCAACAAATGGGATCATATGAAATTAAAAAGCTTCTACAGAGCAAAGAAAACAACCAATAGAGTGAAAAGCCAACCTACAGAATAGGAAAAATTTTTGCGAGCAAATCCCGAGGCAGAGGACTCATATCGAGAATACATAAAGAAGTAAAAAAAAGTAGAATCTCCAAATAAAAGACTCAATCAAAAATGGGCAATCAAAATGAATAGATATTTGACAGAAAAAGTATTAAGTGTCAATAAATATGTGAAGAAATTTCTGAGTTTATTAGCTATTAGAAAAATTAAAACAACACCGATTCCATCCTACCCCAGAAAGAATGCCCATAATCAAGAAATCAAATAGTAACAAATGCTTCAGGGAAAAAGAACCATTCTACACTATTGGTAAGATGTAAAGTAATACAATCACTATGGAGATCACTGCAACCATTCCTCAAAAAACTGAATAGAAATTCCATTCAATCCAGCTATTTCCATTCTGGGTAACTTTTGCAAAGAGTTAGACACTTTTTAGTTTCTTTTCTCATTGCTCAAAGTCTCCAACATCCAAAGTTAAAGGAGGAAAGATTAGTTGTAATTCACTTTGTAGAAGTTTCAGTCCACAGTTGGCTGCTCTGAGGCAGAGTGACATGGCAGAGGGGGAACACAGAGGAGAAACAGTCCATGGCATAGCGGGGCAGGCAAAAAGCAGCAAGCAGCAAACTGCAGCAGCAGCAGCAGCAGTAGCAACTTCTTTCTGTCCCTGTATATTGAATCTAGGCTGCAAATGTATTGATTAGTGCCATCCATGCCCAGCATAGGGCATCCTTAACCCCAGCATCACATAACCTATATACATCCAACTCTAAAAAAACCCCACCAGTGACCGCAGAAGGCTTTGAGGGGCCATCTAGATATATAAGCTGTAAAAGCATATTACAGTGATATATCTGTACCTATGTTTATAGCAGCACAATTTACAATATCTCAATCTTGGAAGTGGCCATACATCCACTGCAAATGAACAGATGAAGAAAATATAGTAGTTACATGCAATTGAGTACTACTTTATCATAAAGGAAGATAAAAACGAAATATTTGTAGGAAATAGACTTTGTGACCATAATGTTAAGTGAAATAAATTAGACACACAAGCTTAAATATGACACGGTTTGTGTTATTAGGAGAAACCCAGAGTATAGTTAATAGGAAGTAGGGAAATAGATTTTTTTCAAAGTGCAAGGAGATCAAGAGATGGAAGGGAGAGAGAAAAAGAATAAAAAGAATTGAGATGTGTATGTACATGTACCTACTTCATGCACAGAATGTACACATTATATACTGCAAACATGGACAAAAACAAAAAAGAAGGTGTTTAAGAGATGGGTGGAGGGAGGAGGGAGGAGGGAGGAAAGAAATGAAATAAGAATTAAGATGTGTGATGTGCAGGTGTTAATTTCCCACAAGGAACATGAACATTATGTTCTACAAACTAAAGTAATAAACTAAACTAAACTAAACGAAGCTACACTACACTACACTACACAAAATGGAAGTGCTTACAAACCTCAGTTGATTGACGCTATAAACAATTACGTTGATCATCTCCTGTGAGCACCAGGCAAGCACAGAAGGGCATTCCTGGAAAGAGTTAAAGACACTTTTCTTAGTTGCTTTTCTCATTGCTCAGACAGCAAGTAGATACTGATTCTTTAGGGACTAGAAATTTGAGCAGTGATCTTCAGAAAGGATTGTAGAAATGTCTTGTTTCACCCATATTGGGCCAACCAAACCCTCTCCATTGGGCACGCTTATTGTTTGGATGTCTGGGGTTAATTTTCCCAGGATTAGAGTTGTCTCTGGAAAGTAGGTAGAGCTCAGTGGGGAGAAGGTAATTTTCATGCAGTAATAACTGTTAGAGTCTAGGAGAGGGTCTGCCATTCTGTAGGTAAGCAGTGAGCAGTTTTTGAGTGAATATGTGAATGGAACAGGAGCAGGCTGACAGGAAAGAAAGATATTGAAAGAGAATGATATGAGTGATACACGAGTGGTTCTGCAACTGAAATCAATTTGACAGACTTTATTGATCCTATATTGCCTGCTGTGTCCTGAGAAAACGAGAAGCTAGATACATAGCACCAAGTCACAGATAGCTCCAAGCCCTAACAGGCTGATGATTGTATAGAAAGAAATATGAGGAAATGGTCACTGGGTTCAGTTGTGGCCGTGTGTGGATGTCCCCTCAAAAGTCTTTATCCTGCCTGCTTCTGGAATGTACCAGTTCCATTGTCTCCACTGCATGTCAAACTCCAGCAAAATCAACAAGCATGTTTTAGTATCAACAATTACCATATAACACTGAGGAGAAAAATCAGTTGGAATGCCAAGTCCCTAATTTATATCTTTTTGATTCTTACCAGAACCCTGAATTAAAGGCACAATACTTCCTGATTTAGAGATCACAAACCTGAGGATCTTTAGTATAATGATTTGCTTACAATTGTATGCCCTGCAGAGCCAGGATTTAAACTTGGTTCTTGTGTACATTGGTCAGTGCTTTCTGTTCTTTTGCTCTGGCTGCATTTGTGAGTTGTACATCCAGCCCTCACAGCATCTTCCTACGATTAGAGAAATTAAAATGCAAATATCTGAAGCCAGCTTATGTCTAACAGAGACAAGCGCTGTACAGGAGGAATCTTGGCTTTACTATAGATCTTATATTATGAACTGTAATATAAAAAGCTTTCAGGGTAACTCATTAATGTATACGTTAGTTATTCACTCATTCAGCCCCTGAAATATTCATCTATAGTTCAAATATAGGCTGGTCTCATATTATGTGTCCCAAACAGTTGTGAGGACAAGTAAGGTAAGTCAGAAATGGTGAGTATCTGGAGAAGGTACAGAAGCTCTCGCTCCATTAATTGACAGGGAAGCAAGGATAAAAATGAACATAACTATCATTTACTGAGTGATTGCAGCTACTCCACATGGTTTAACTTCTTTGATCCTCAAAATAACCGTATGAGGTGTAGATGCTATCATTTTCTTCATTTTATGGTTAAGGGAGAATCTACAATCTGCCCATGGTCACACAGCAAACAAGTTAAGTGACAAAATGAGGATTTGAACCCAGGATGTTCAACTCCACAGTTCCCAAAATGACAATTACTAGTTTGCACAAGTGCTAAGTTTTGTAACCTTTTCTCTCAATCATTCTTACATTCTTTCTTCGCCATTCAAGGGAGATCACCCTCTCACAAGTCAGTCAGTCTCTTTACCGTGTTCCAGCTTTTCTGTCCTGTCACCTTTGCCTAGGATGCTTCCCTTCACTACGTTCATCTTCTCCCATTCAACTTTCCAAACTCTTGGCATACTTAAGATGGCAGTAGGGATATTACCAGTTTCCTCCTGAAGCTTTACATGGCCCCATAATACTATACAGTTGTAGAAAGCCAGGTAAAATGATGATTTTTCCAATCAGAGAGATAAAATAGACCAGTAGGTTGCTGCTGCTCTATGACAATCAGATAGGTCTGAGAACATACATAACTAGAATTCTCAGTCCAGTGACTTTCACAAAGCTAGCTTTCTAGATGAAATGAGTGTAACCACAGGATTTTTGGAGCCACAGGACTAATGATGTACTAGATCATGGCCACATATTGAAAACTTGAAGTGGCCACAACTGAATATCTTGAAAACAGATAAAAAATTTAACAAAGTTATGAGTTGCATCAAATCATGTGATTTTTAAGCTTGTGTGTCTGACATATTTTAGTTAAGGAGGTAGAGAAGCAGGAAAAAGGGGGCA